AAATAAGCTCGTTGACTCTCAAGCTGGCTTGTGAGTAGATGGGTGTACTCCACGCTCATATTTTCTAGCTTTTCCCGGGGTACTGCATCTGTCCAGTCCGGCGGGTCGAGGGCACTGTTATCTGCAGCCGGGAGCTCTACGAGTTTGCCGTCGGTTTTACTTTGTATGATGCGGTGAACATATGCGTCACCCACATAGTCCCAGACACGTTGTGTAGCGAGGTCCATGGCAAACGCGTGGGAGGTTTCTTTGTAGTGGTCAAATGCATGCGCGCCATCGTAGCGACCGCAACCGACAATCCCGCAGATCAAGCAAATCCAAAGGTTGATGTCGGAATGGCACACGCTGCATTCAGCCGGCTCATCTTCATAGAGTGCACCCTGGCTGCTTCTGCGGAACTCGTCTTGTGTGTAGCGACAGACGGGACACCCACTACCCTTCCACTTCTGCAGGCATGTACAATGAAAAACATGTTGACAGATTATCGTAAGCAGGCCAGTAGTCTCATCCATGCGTTCTAGACAAACAGGACATGTTGGCAACTCGACAAGGGACGGTGTGGGAGGTGCTAGAGGTCTCGTAGATAGTGTCGCTGATGGTATGGAGCTGGATTGTCCTGTAGATGATATGGTTGCACGCTGGGGACTGGTCGCAGAATGAGATAAGAGGGAGTTCTGATGACTGGCCGTACCCCCGTGTTGTGCTTGCGAATCCACAGCTTGAACCTCCACTGTTTTCACGAAAACGACATGGCATGTTTCAGGCTTTTTGAGAGAACCATAAGAAATCAGTATCAAGATATGCAATTTTATCTGGGAACTACGACAAGAAGGTTACCGGGGGAATAACACTCACCTCCATGCTATTGAAGACTTTCCCATTCCATTCTTTCTGCCACTCCTTGGCCTTCTTCCCACTGCGAAATTTTAACAGAACCATATACCGATTGGCTCTGGCGGTCCTGATCATCCGAAAATGGCTCACGTCATCCATGCTTGCCTCGCCAACAAATCCCAGAAAATCCGATGGTGACATGTATGACGGAACGGCGAGTATACACAAAGTCGTGAAGTCATCATCCGGATACAAGAGGGAAGATTGTTCCTCCACATGTACATCCTGACGTGGGTTAGAGCCCCCGCCCAGTTCATCGTATGGTTGTCTTGCAGCAGCGGACCCTTTTAGGTACGAAGGGTAATCCTCTTCAACTAGATACGGCGTCTCCTGCGCATCTCGGTACAAATGCACAATTCCCCAGACACTTTCTGAGGTTTGCTGATCGAGCGGTATATATTTGCCTCTCGTACGTAGACCTCCGAGAATATCTGTGCCGATCCCCGTTGCAACGAGGTTATCTCTAGGATCGCTTCGTCTACCAGCCCCCTTCGGGGTTATTGCCTCCTGACCCGAAGGTATCATATCAATACACTCGACTGAAAGTTTATCGAATCTCGGGTCCTTCTCAAAATCGGAGGTGCTGGTCGGCGATTTCGTATCGAGGTGAGGGGTAGTGGGATGCACAGTCGGAGCTACGGAATTCGAGCTACAAGTGTCACTGAAAAAAAGTGTCGAAGAGCTTGGGGATTTTCTGTTCGAATGATAGCGGGCTGAGCGTCGAGACCGCTTTTGAAATGGCTGTAAAGCTTCACATATGGAGTCGAAGGATAGCGAAGTTGGAGATTGATCGTCTGCACTGCGGAAGGAGTCTCTGGGGCCAGCTGAAGGACGTGCAAATAATTCAATCGCAAGGTGGTAGAAATAAGAGGGCATCCCGACCGATGCTCACATCGCTGGGTTTCTGCGAGTTGTTGCGACAACAAGATTCAAACTCTTTGAATTTGTTTGTTCTATCACATTCACTCCATAGGTAGCTTGAGTTCCATCCCGCCTTCGGCGAGCCGACTGTCACGTGTGATAGGGAGCTGTGGCAAATTGGATGCGATAACAGCTGCTGAACTTCAACTCCTTTCGCATTCTCAAATACTTACAATAAATCTGCGTGCTTACAAACACATGGAAGAAAGACAGGGAGACTACGATCTACAAACACTAGAAGATACCGTTCTATATCAAAATGCGTAGCAGAATATACCGAACAGAATCGGTCGTTATTCATTGTAATCAAGGATTGTAGATAATAAGGACTGAACTATGTAATGCACCACAACCTTGTGCAGTGATACAGAAAGCAGTATGCTGTTGAAACATATCATAAAAGCCTAAAACCAACCGAACGCCATGCAAAGCTACTCAACCCAGTTGAGTCGCGATAGCAGAAAATCAAACAAGACATTAATTTCCACCACGGAGACGCAGGACCAGATGCAAGGTGCTCTCCTTCTGGATGTTGTAGTCGGAGAGTGTGCGTCCATCCTCTAGCTGTTTACCAGCAAAGATAAGACGTTGCTGGTCAGGGGGGATGCCCTCCTTGTCTTGAATCTTTGACTTGACGTTATCGATAGTGTCCGAGCTCTCAACTTCCAAAGTGATGGTCTTGCCAGTGAGTGTCTTGACAAAGATCTGCATACCACCACGAAGACGAAGGACCAAGTGCAATGTAGACTCCTTTTGGATGTTGTAGTCAGACAGGGTGCGACCATCTTCGAGCTGCTTGCCGGCGAAAATGAGACGCTGCTGGTCAGGGGGAATTCCCTCCTTATCTTGAATCTTTGACTTCACATTGTCGATTGTGTCGGACGATTCAACCTCCAGTGTGATTGTCTTTCCAGTGAGAGTCTTGACGAAAATCTGCATACCACCACGCAAGCGCAGAACCAAGTGAAGAGTAGATTCCTTCTGAATATTGTAGTCGGACAGAGTACGGCCATCCTCGAGCTGCTTACCAGCGAAGATCAAGCGCTGCTGGTCGGGAGGAATGCCTTCCTTGTCCTGGATCTTGCTCTTGACATTATCGATGGTATCGCTCGACTCGACCTCAAGGGTGATAGTCTTTCCTGTGAGGGTCTTCACGACTATATATTTATCAGTAAGCTGACAACTTGATATTGTTGTAAGTGGCAAACAAGGCAATAGAGAACTTACAGATCTGCATTCCACCACGAAGACGAAGAACAAGGTGAAGGGTGGACTCCTTCTGGATGTTATAGTCGGAGAGGGTACGGCCATCCTCAAGCTGCTTGCCAGCGAAGATCAAGCGCTGCTGGTCAGGAGGAATGCCTTCCTTATCCTGAATCTTGCTTTTGACGTTGTCGATAGTGTCGCTGGACTCGACCTCCAAAGTGATGGTCTTGCCGGTAACTAGAGACGAGAATGTTAGAAGATGCCAAGTGGCGCTAGACTGGGGACAGAAGTCAGGTATACTCACGAGTCTTGACGAAGATCTGCATGGTGACGACGGTGAAAGTGTTTCAGTGGTATAGAAGGCAGTAAGGAGTATTCTAGGGAAACGCTGGGAGAAATGTAGGTGGACAACAGCCGCAGTGACTGAGAGGATGATGAAGGATGAAGAAGTTAGAAGGCGAAAAGGAGAAAGAGCAGTTTAAGTAGGTGGTCAGGAGAGATGAGGGGAGAGGCAACGGAGGCGAAGCGCCTTAGTCAGTCAGGGTCGGTCAATGATAGGTCGATAACGTGATGTAAGGACGGACCATGGCGGTCAATTCACTCTTAAATGGATAAGCGCCGGTTGAACCTTAAGATTCTGGCATCCCCTGGCACATTCTTCTCCTCTTCCGGCCAGTCAGAGGGCGATCCTTTGTTGAATTTGGGGAAACTGCTAGAAGTGTTCCGGCAGATGACTCAGTCGACTCGCTATCGACTCCTACTTGTTGACCTTTACATGCGCTTATGGTACTGCGAGGGCGCAAAGATTACTACTAGGCTCAGAGTTTTCACTAGCATGGTGGCTGAGAACGACGGAACCGAAGGAATTGTGTCATCCATACCTTGGGGGAGAGTCATTATCAGTTTAAGGATGGAGTAGGGACGATTCCGTCCGTACCCGCCACCGACGCCACCAGTCGGCATCTTCCAACGGAAATCTTTGCATTTCTCCTTCATTTTACCTTTTAACAGGAACCAAATCTATGTCGAAGATTTATTTCGTTTGTGGTAACCGCTAGCCTATTTTCGTCGTGGTGGTGTCCTAGACAGATGGTTAACTCCTGCGACCTCCTACGCGGTGTCGTCGCAAGTAGCGATGACGTGTGAAATCCGGGCTTATCGCGCAAAGAGGGGGCAGTGGACACTCTTAGTAGCCTAATAGTTGGGTCACTGAGACGGCCCCGGCCAGCGCTAACGGCAGGAGGGTCAGGTGATCGACCTTGCGCATCCGGTACTTCTCCACTCCTGAATAGGCAGGTAGAATGATTAGCTAATCACTGTAATTACTGGTTAGTTAACTAAGCTGCAACCACCGATATTAATTAGTAGTGAACTGACTCGTACAAGCAGGATAGCAACACTACTTGCTTGGTCTTATTTACTTGTCATTCCTGAGCTAACCGATACTTCGACTATTTGCTTAAGTCTATATATAGTTAGCTCCGTTCTATGTTCTGTTTTAACGGATATATAGTATCTGGAGGCATCTACGACTCTGTGTTATTTTGATGGTAGGCTGAAATGGCCTGGTGAATATAGCCTCAACGAGTGATTGAGACGCTACCATGCAGCTAAATCATCTGGAACAAGAGATCTGCTGCCTGGAAAAATAGTCATAAGTATCGAAACTGGTTAGTACTGGTTGCCTGAACTTCATCGTTGTCGGGCACCCTATTTGGGACTAGTAGATTTATGGGGGCAGTGGACATGGATTGAGATATAAGTAGTTGTATATGTTCATTCAAATGGAAATTACTCCCACAGTGCAAATTAGGCCGAATAAGTAGCGAGATAGCTCAAGGTGTTGAGGGCAAAGCGTAAGATACGAGTAGTATACTTGAGACTGGTAAGAACTCAACGTTCTGCTTCTTTTCAATCATTGCTACGTTTAGTTTATACTAATCTCAACCTGATCAGGAGCTTCGTGACTGTATTGAGCCATGGGTGACACGAAATATGAGCTGTCCGATATGGACAAAATCGGTATCACGAAGACTGTGAAAGTCTTATTATTCTATGAGCTCCAACCCACCATCGATCCAGAAGAATTGATCACTTCCCTGGCGGAAGGCGTAAAAAACGCGACCAGACAACTGCCCTTCATGGCCGGGAACCTCGAATTCAACGAGCATGGTAAACTCAGCATAGTTATACCACCAGGAAGCCAGGTCAAACTCAACATTCGCCGGTTTGAGTCCAAGGAACAAAAGTCACTTTCCGCCCTAGTCCAGGACTCATTCTCTCCAGATAATATAGACTTTACAGAGTTTTTACCGGAGGAACCGGCGGCCCCAAAGCAGGTCTGCGCTCTTCAAATAAATCTTGTGAAGGGCGGCCTGATTCTAGGATTGTGGATGAATCACGCGGCTGGAGACTGGTCTTCTATTGATACATTCGTCTCTCTTATCTGTCAAAACTGCAAGGCACATCGGGAAGGGCTGAAGACACCTGCCTACACACCAGATCTCAACAGAGCTCCATACAATGCGCCAGAGACCAGCTCAACATTCTCCAGACAGGAACATCTGGAAAAGCTCCCAATGTTCTACGTTATGGAGAAAAGTCAATTCAAACTAAAGTCGCCACCTGCCTTCCGATCAAGCGTATACAGGATCTCTGAACCATCCATCCAACAGCTCAAAGCGCGGTGCACCCCACATCTGACTGAGGTAGACTATATAACCTCATACGACTGCATATCTGCCCTTACATGGACGTCAATTACACGTGCTCGGCTCAATCTGCACCCAGAAAAATCCTCCTCGCCATCCCGTTTCGTCCACCCTATTGATGTCCGCACTCGCGACCCAGAGAAGAAAACTTCTGAACGCTACTTCGGTAACGCCGTCATCGGGTCCCAAGCAGGCCCTATCACTGCCGAAGCCCTAGTATCAGATGGTGACCGTGGTATCGCAGCTGCAGCTACCCTAGTCCGCCAATCTATAAACTCCACCAGCCTATCTACAATCAGCCACATGACCTTTCTCATGAAGTCACTCGCTCCAGCGGAGATACTGGGCTCTCAAGCAGACTTCAGTGACATGGATGTGTTTGTGAATACATGGTACTCGGGAAATGCAGAAAAGTACGATATTGGGGGTGGTTTAAGACCTGTTGCGTTTCGAGTTCCTCTAAGCCTTCCCGGAGCGTGCGCGGTAATCTTGCCGAATTTTTCGAGTGGAGCAACGAGGGTCTTTGAGGTTCTTGTGCAGGTTGAGGTTCAGGAGCATGAGTTACTCAGGAAGGACCCAGAGTTTTTAAGGTATTTTGAGGTTGTTGTGTGACGGGGGATTGTTTTTATTGTCTGATAGAAAGGATTATTCCATTCCCATGACATAGCGTCTTCTAATTCTCAAGGTAAATTGGGACATTAAGCAGCATTCTGATGAACGAACAATACATTGCGAATAATTTACCAGAACCTAGTATTCCAATGAAGCCCTTTTAATAGCACATATCAGGATAGCTCGTTTTACCCTAGCTATGGTGGATGTGTTTTCTCTCTTACTTGTACTATGTAGGTGGGAAACACTGCACGAGGTTCGTGACCTCTGGAGTTGTCTCAGTACACTGGTTCTACTCGATCCCACCTGGTTTCAACCTAGACTAAACTCGCCTGTATACCCACAAAGCTACCGGGGCCAGATGAAGTGGTGCAGTGGGCTATTTAGACGAGTCATGATTGGCCACTTCGCCTTGACAACAATGCGGCTGTGCAAGCCACTACAAATGCTACTACTACTACTACTACTACTACTACTACTACTGTGTAGATACTAGATGGTAACTGCCTATTTCGGTGAAATTCACGGAACAGAATACAGGTGGAAACAAAAACTAGTCGTGACAACAGCCGTGGGTGCTTCCTCGTACCTGAATCATGATGATTCACTCACCAAGAGCAGATTTCTCAATGGCATCACCCCTACAACTGCTTCATCTGCCCACGGAGATCCTGGTATGGATTTTGGCAGAGGTCCCGTCGCAAGCCTCTTTTGCAAGTCTCGCACGGACATGTCGACGTCTTCAAACGCTGGTGGAGCCTTATCTCTACCGGTCTGTCTATCTGGGCAACCATGACGGAGAAAGCTTCGCCTATGCTATAGATCGCAAGGCGGTCCGCGCAGAGTACATACAAGAGCTTGTGATCCATTATCACTATGTTGACGACATTCCAAATGAGGACGAGTACTATCCAATTCTCGTGGAGAGCTTGGTACCAACAATCAGCCGCCTGGTCAACTTGAGACGACTTGTCGTCAAGGGCCTGGAATATGACACACAGAGGCCTTATGATGAACCGGACTTCGGGCCTGGACCAAGACTCGACGCTTTGTCTATGATCTGGTCCTGGCTCTTCCAGCAATCAACCCAGTCAATGTCAGGCGTTCTGCCTTCCTTAACAACATGTCTGCCAACCCATGCTCCACTTAACCCCCCCTACTCTGTACATACATACACACACTAACAGTTGCAAGGCGAGCTGATTATGAACGACCTTACACCCACACCCCTCCAGCATACAGCAGGCGAACCTTGGTACTTTTCCTCGCGCGAGACTGTCCTGCTTCATCCCAAGCTACAGAAGCTGAGTATAGTAGCAGCCATGATCTCCGGCCTAGACCCAGAAATGCTGAGTTATACCAAGAAACCTGGGTTTCGGCCCACATCCTTGGAAACCCTGATCCTGCTCTGCTGTGACGTATCGATAAACGGTCTCCACGACATGCTCAAGTTCCCCAAAGCTCTCAAGAACTTCACCCTGAAGGGATCCCCATGGACGACCATACCGAACCAGTTTCCAATGGACCGAGGAGCGATCGTGAACGTACTAAAGGCGCAAGCACATTCACTCCTCAACCTCGAACTAGACTTCTACCTGCGCACGAACTGCCCAGCCCTCGACTTCCGCGACTTCACAAGTCTCCAACAGCTCACCATCGACCCGAAGGCCCTAAGAGGCGACGATGATGAGCAGAGCCCCGAGGCCCAGAAACACCTCCGCCAATATTGCCATCTTCCCCCGAGTCTCCGATCCCTGCGCTTTCGAGAGTATAGAGAATGGGGCAGACCGGATCTGCAGACGCTATCCATCGTTCTCGACTGGGTGATGTCTAGGGGCTTACCAAACCTAAAGAATATCACGATCCAGTCGGCCACGTTCACTTCGGCAGCGATATTAGACGCAATCACTTCAGATGGAAAGTCATTCCGACAAGCGTTCCGGGTTGTTGGGGTGGAGTTGGCAGTGGAGCGTGTGCGGTCCTGCCTCAATAACGAACACCTCACCATTGATTGCAATTGTTGCTCGTTCTGTTGGCGGTTCTTAGATCAATGGGATAACTGAATACCAAATTACAGGATCCCTCGTCTTGGTCAGATACACCATACCCACTGTGGGGCGACCAACTGGGAGTCCAAATTTAGGAACTCTGAACGAGAACGACGATGTAAAAAAGACCGTCGGTTCTTACTCTGTATGTACATATGTAAACGTGGCTATGGTTGACGGTGAGGAAAGCCTCGTTGCCTCGTTCTCAAAGTAGTAGTACAGGAAGACCCAAATTTAGGACAGTTTCCCAAAGCAGCCGAAACTTCGTACAGGACACATGGCGGTATGCTGCCATAGCCGAATTTGCCCCAGTTCGAGGGTAATAGATTGGCTGGTAAGAGGCCAACTCATGGTTGTACGGTGTCAGTGTTACTTGGATCACACTATTGCTACTGGGTGCTTGGGTGGGGGTGTAAATGTTAAGACGGTGTAAGTTCTGTACGAGTCCCACTTGCGTGTATGTGTATGTTCGAGTTTGTTCGTATGTGAATGATATTTATTACCCTGTGACTTGGCTCTGGCTTCAAGGCAACCAAGGGCAATGGAGTGTGCGAGCACCCCCCCTTTTTTTTCTTGATTAAAAACAGGGAAAAGAAAAAGGGAACAGAAAAATCAGTAAGAGTCAAAACTTCATGCCACACAACCGTTCCCACACTCCGACATTTGAAATACAATACCCATAATAGATAACAAGATCAGAATCAATAAAAGCAATAATCAAGATAATTCAAGAGAAGCACCAATGCGCACACACACAGACATACGCTAATCAGGCACATAAATGCAAAAAAGCAGCATCATGAAGCGGGAACTAGCCTCCACTATACGTCGGCAACTCAGTTGCGCTCATCGTTTGCTGCTGGAAAACATTTCGTGACCATACAATATCATGACATTCGTGATCCTCATCATCGCTGTTTATAATACTGTGCGAGAAAGGTATACCACTAGAAGCAAAAAAGAGTGTAAGTTGAAATCACGCAAGAGACAACACGTAAGCTTTAGGCTAGACTGGCAAAAACAAGAAATAAAAAGAATAATGTAGAGAAGACCGAGACGGGAAAACAAGAATGAATAGAACGATCGTAGTCGCTAATGGCTTAATGCGAGTCATAATCGTGAATGCCGGCATATCTCATAGTTTCATACCGCGCCGATGCCGTCATCTTTGAAAAGCCGTGAGAAAATCAAGCGCAATGGACCATCATTCTCATAACTTATCGTTTAATTGGCGCGGACAACAAGTCTTGAAACAAATTTATTCGATAAACAATCAAAGTCGTTGCGGTCAAATTTGGAACTGGAGCGGCTACGGAGATAGCTCTCTGGACGGAGGTTAGCCAGGGCAAATACGCTGCGTGGCATTCGACTTTCTTACCATATTGCGTGACATGTTGGCGAACCTCAGTCATTGCGCTGCAGACATCCGGGTTCGAGTGCAGCAGGTGGTGGTGCTTTTGTGTTTCCCACTCGGTGAATGCGGGAAGCTTCTGCGAAATCGCCTGGAACAAGCCAACAATAACACCGACGGGGGTAGTCTCCATGTCGTTGCAGAATTTCTCGACAGCGGCAGCATCCTGGCAACCGTCAGCATCTCTGCAAAATCTCATAGTATCCGAAAGACAACTTACCCGAGTGCGGTAATGGCAGTCGAACTGCATCTCTTCCCACACGGCCAAAAGGATGGATGCCAGGATGAAGATTGTTGGCCAGTTCTTGAGCTTCTCTCCGCTATAGACGCTGGAATAGAGGCTAGAGAGCTCCTCCAGAACATCCTTTTGCAACTCACGCCACATGTTTGCCATAGCACACTTGATTTGGAAGTTGATCATTACTGGTGCCAATGTCTTGCCCTTGAATTTTGAAGTCTCTGCTTCAATCTTTCCAAGAAGTCCTTCTTCCTCGCCCAGGCCCTCGACCAACGTGACATGGAGAGTCAGGTTATAGGCAATGATAAGTTTCAAGGCCTTGCGGATCACCGGCATCTTTGTACGGTAATAGAACCGGAATGCGGTCTTCAGCATTTGTGTCAGGAATGGAGTGCCTTCAAAGTAATCATCGACAAATTTCTCAAAAGTGCCATTTCCATCGATATGGCGATCGAGATAATCGGATAACATAGCGTGTGAAATCCCTTCCATCCCAGCAGAAAGCTTAGCGGTTTCCACCTCGTATTTCGTGGGTCCTCGGTTGTACGTCTCTACCCAGTCGACACTAAAGCACTGCTCGTTGTGCACATAAACCTCGCGAGCATTGATGGGAAGGATTTGACCATAGCCATGGGTGATGAAGAGAGTCCTCTCATGCTCTGAGAATCCTTTGATATTGCCTACCGAGAACCCAAGAGAGATATGACGCTCGTAGTCAGCCTTCCAGTCCTTCATGAAATAGCCAATTTCCTTAATGTCTATGCGGGTACATGGCACCTGCCATAACCGAGCGTGCGATGGCTGACAGCCAGCACAGGGTTCGCCTTTGTCGCACTGTTTTCCCGGTCAGTCAACTGTCTCAGGGCTCGCCTCATCAGTAATTGGGCGAACTACTTACAGTTTTCTTCAAGAACTTGCAACGGAGACACGCTCTCAACTTGCGGATCTCGCTGGCCTGTTTCCGCTGGTCTGGCTTGAGCGGGCCCTTCCGCTTTCCAACACGCTTCTCGGTTTCCGGCTTCCCATTTTGCGATTGCTTCCGAACCTTTGTTTCGGCAGTCTTGGCAGCAATAGGGCTCTTGCGGGATGGCTTCCTTGTAGGGGGAGAGGTAGACGAGGCTTGTGACCCGGTGGACCGTGTAGGCGATGAGGGCTTCTTCATGGGGACTGGAATAGGTCGCACGATGGCCACAGGACTGACCGCAGTCGGTGACTGCGAGCCATGCGAGGTATGGTCGAATGACACACGTCGGGCCATTGTGTTATTAAAGGCGGCATCAAAGTTGGTGTCCGAGCTGGGCGAGTTGACTGGATTCGAAATCTCTACAAAGCTGCCATACGACGTTGAATAAGATGACTCTGAGAGACTCCTGTCATGCAATGTCTGCGTGGGATTGATGAAGAAGCCTTGGTCGGGAAAGTACTCATGCGAGCGGCGCTCAATAGTGCTCCAGCCGTTGTCGCTGCTCGAACTGGTCAACGAACGGACCTCCAAGTACGTGTCCGCGGGCGAGCTGCTGTCTATTACGTTCTGCGGCGCGGCGTACGAGGGAATCTCGGGTAGGGCATGCGCCAGGCCATCGGACGGAAAGGCCATCAAGTCAGATTGCAGATCGTGATAAGGAAAAGGAACCATGTCAACCGGTGCGGATAGAGGCAGATATGGGCCGTCTAAGAGGCTTCCGCTCAATTGTCCTTGGGGTGTAGCAGAGATTAAATCAATGGGAGACGACTGGAGGGGCATCCCATAGCTTGCGGTCGTGAACTGAGGAGCGGAGGCTTCTTCATGAGAGTACTGAAGGTGGGGTTGCATGTGCTGAAATTGCCAGTCGACCATCAGATTGGGATCCTGAGCTACCGACTGTTCAAATGCGTGACCGCTGGTTTGCAAGGGAGAAATGTCTCGCGCTCCTTCTGCTCGGTGGGAAGCCTGGTGGTCCACCGCCACGGGCCATGACTGAGGCTGGAGGTAGTTTCTCGAGTCATAATCGAGGCCGATAAAGCCGTCGCTGGAAATATCGACATTTGACATTGTGTGTCAAGTGCCTATGTACCAAGGGAGAGGGGAAACAAGAAATAGGAAAGGGAAAAATTCATCAAAAAAATAAAATAAAATAAACGACAGACGGGTGGTACAAAAAACAAATAAGAGGTAGGATTGGAAGTGAAATCGGCAGCAGCGAAGCCTGAGGACAAAGGGCTTCGGGTGAGCAGAAAGCCCAGAATCCGGGGGTACGAAAGAAAAGAAGAGAAGAGGATGATAGGATGAGGCCATGGCGGGCATGAAGCGGTGGGGAGCAAAGCAGCGGTGAGGCGGGAGTTGCGTCGGCCGGAGATACGCTAGGGGATCCTGGGATGGAGTTATCGCTATCGGAGTGGGGAGGTTGGGTCATCCGCCGTCCCGTCATGCCTTCCCACTGGCTTGTCTGGGGGGGGGAAGAAACGGAAATCATGCTACCGTGACCATGATTAAATGCCACGCCGCTCGTAATTTTTCTTCTGTTCCTTTCTCCGCTTTCTCTCTTGTCACTTCTCTCACTCTCTTCTTAGAGGTACTGTACGCCGTACACATTTCTGTTTTCTGTTTCGTCTGGTACCGACCCCGTCAGAGTGGCAACAAACAGTACTCGACCCATTTAACCATAACTTTCACGAGTAGTCAACATCCTTCTAGGGTAATATCTGCATCAAACTAGTCAAGACTTCAGTACTAGAGTATATCCCCACTACTCTGTACAGTAATGGTATGGCTGAGTAAATACACCACCTGGAACCTTCGACACATTCCTCGATTGACGAGTCTCATGATACTTATTCACTTTCCTCTTTCGGATCTCCAATGGTTAGGGTTATGGATACACTAGTGGAAGACACACATGCATCCGATTTCCCTACCGTGCTTAGCGCGGCGCTTCCCAACGGAGGTTTATTCTTTACTGTACGGAGTAAGCAGGTATATTACGTTTCAAAAGTATGTCCATCAGGGAGTACATACCTCCAATGCAGCAGTAGCATGCACTCATTCATCATATGTCTTAGTGAGCAGCCATTGACATTGGTACAGATGTCTGTCATTCACCATTGCATTCGTTTTTGTCTGACCCCTTGTTAACACTTCTCGTGCTGACAACAAAGCGTGATAGGAAATCAAGAGAGGCTGGTCCCGTTTACCCGAGTACCACGGTACAGCCACGGTTTCCTCCGTGAAAGACGCATGGGTGCACATTCGGGAAAGAAGATCAGTGGAAACCATCAAGATCGTTCAATTTCGAAGGATTCTCCCCGCCCATTGGTAGTTGGGGGCTCCGATTCAGTTGGCCGTGGCAATAGTGTTGGGGCTCGGAAAGACCCCGCTGACCATACCCGTACGCACGGTATGGTAATTGAAGACCTCCTGCTCTCTAGTACCTACCTAAGATGGGTTACCTGGTAGCAGAATGTTGCTCTCTGTATGGATGCGTGTCCAGACATTGCAGCCTTTGCTCGGGCGAATCAGTCAATATTGGCTGCCAATTATAGCCTCATCTCCGTCAACGTTCAATCACTGACGCACACATGTTGACAACAGGGCGGCTGACGCCGCAGTAGCTCCAACCCAGTATTACCTGGTTTACCATACAGGGCTGTTCTAGGCGCGGGAAAGAAAATCATTTTGGACTAGCTCTTCACTTGGCACTTCCGCGATGAAGATGAGATAATTGATGCTGATAATGATAAGCTGCCTGCTGACTGGTTGTCTTCGGTTGATTTTTTTGCTCTTCTTGATTGTTTGTCTTGATTTCTTTCTCTTCCTCAATAAGTCCCATCATGGAGAAAGTTCACCTCTTACGCTCTTGGAACAGCTGCCTATATCTCCTCTGGATGCTACGAGGAGCTGTTTCACCTCCGATATTTGAGTTTATGTTTGTTCTCGACCCTCAAGCGGTAGACAATCCGAGGGCCGATCCATGAAAGCATGAGTGCCAACAATGCTGATGGGGTTTGAAGACGAAGATGATAGATCAAAATCGGCGCTCGAGCAAATCCCTGAAGCTGGAAGCGATGACAAAGTCAATCGTGGCCACATCGCCCACCAGACCCAAAAAAGAGACAGAAGTAGACAAAGTTGCTCTTAGCTCTTTTGTCCAGGGTTCTTGCAAGGCAGGCTAGGGCGTAAAAGGAAAACCGTTTTGCATCTGAAATTCAGCTTTCAGAGGCCCGTGGGCTCCACATCCAGGAAGCCCATCAACTAACTTCATTTGCCTACGACTAAAAAATCGTCTCGGCTCGCTTGGGTTCTGACTCGCAGCTTGCCACGCCATCCGCCGCATGCAATAACACATCCAACGCGTAGCTCCATAAATGGCAACTCCAGTTCCAGATGGCGGATATCTCTGTTGACGAGATTGGCGCTTTGAGTGGCTGTGTCTGATGCTGATTGATCAGCGCCATACTTGGTGGGCACGTAGCCGTACGTGGTGGTCTGTGTGCGCGAATCATTCTGGTCTACGGAGTACTTCGTACCAGGAATAGGTAGTATTCGGTAGTGCCGCCCCTTGACTAACCTTGAATCCTGATGAGATATACTGTGTATGCAGACCATGTTCGCCCACGGTTATTAGCTGTCGAGATCGAAGGTTCCCATCGATCAGTCAAGGCAACGTCTCCCTCGTGATATCAGATGGTCTTCCATTCCCTTCGTATGTTGTGCGCTATAACAGTGTCTTGGAAGAGGTGGTAGGACTTCTTAGCCGAAAGCCCCTCATCCGACACCCAAGTGAGTTGATCAACAACTAGTTAGGATTAAGAATTGGACTACCTCTTTTAGTTCAACAAGGGCTTTTCGTAGCGCGAATACCGGATTCGGTATCATCGGGCTAGGTTATGAGATGTTATTGGGTTGAATCCTTCACCCAGTGCCCACCGGCCGATCTATTCCGGGTTTGATTTTGGTGGGAGCCTTAGGAAAAAGGAATGCTCATCACGGGACCACAGGCTCTTTGACAGAACGTGGAGAGTTATGACGGTAAGTACAGTACGGAGTACAGCCGGGCCTGAAAAATATGGATCTTCGGTTTGGGTTTGGCATTCCTGATGCTACTCCCTAAAAATCGTACTTACCACAATAGCTAGAACTATGTAATGGCCAGTTTAGCAGCGTTCTATCATTTGATTTTTCTACAAAGGAGATGAGGGTGGTGAATGAAGAGTATAATAGTAAACTTGCACAGAGGGCAAAAGGTGTCTACCATAGTGAGGGGTGACCCACCGCCCAGTGGGAAAAAAGAACAATGAATGCGCTTTCTCCATTGCCAATAACAGGACAATAGCAGTGAGATCGCTTATGTGATTACGATTGTTATCGACCTTAGCTTCCTTTGTTCGCAAGATTATATACGGATCTAAGCTTCCTCGGAAGATTTCATGCCTGTCACTTCAGCGACAGGAAAGCAGCGTCGAAAAGTTCGTTTCGCTTCGACCAGTCAAATATCGGCGGGAAAGTCAAGCATCAGGCCCAACCAACCGGCAGAAAGCTGTCCGTCATCGACAACTCTTTCACAGGATCATACACTGCCTAAGCAGCAGCGCAGAATGAGTGAAACTCAAGTACATCCTGCGGTCCCAGCACTGTTCAAGGAGCTGCCGAGCATCCAAGACGCTCTCAACACCGAGACAACAAAGCTTCAAGAAGAAACAGTAAACAAATGCTTACCATTCCTGAAAGGTATCCATAGCAGTCAACAGGGACCGTTCAATCAGTTTGGGGTACCGGCACTTAACCGTGATGATCATATTGCCTACCTGTATGACTCTCTAGAGGACTATCCGGGGAGTTTTGTGGCCCTTGATGCCAGTCGTCCCTGGATGGTTTACTGGGCTCTAGCTGGCTTAACTCTACTAGGTGAAGACATCAGTCAGTTCCGTGAACGGTAAGCAAGCGCCTGGCTACCTTGATCTACACTCTTGTAGGATTGTTAGGGAGTGTACTCTGTTTATGTTGGTCGATTGCTGTTTTTGGTAACTCAATGTCTAAATTCATTCCGTTCCAGGGTAATTACGTCGTTTAGACCTATGCAGAATGCCACTGGTGGGTTTGGAGGAGGACATGGCCAACTGTCCCACTGCGCACCCACCTATGCTGCCGTTCTATCGCTCGCCATGATTGGTGGCGAAGAGGCTTTCCAATTGATCGATCGCGAGGCAATGTGAGTTGTATATCTGCCACCTCCGAAGATCTGTGCACCGTTAACCCGGGACTAGGTGGAGATGGCTCGGAAGGCTGAAGCAGCCCGACGGTGGCTTTAGAGTATCCGAGGGTGGGGAAGAAGATGTGAGGTAATGGGCACTCCTATCTATCATTCTACTACTCTATCTGACTGGGCGTCATATCAGAGGCGCTTATTGCGCGATGGTGCTTTTATCGCTCCTTGGCCTGCCACTTACCTTGCCACCTGATGCCGAAGCTCGGAAGCAAGGGTTCGAAACGTTCACCAGTGGCCTGTCAGATTATCTATCAAGATGTACGTGGTATCTAAGTTTGGCCCAATGGACGGGAGTGCTCATAGGCCATAGGCCAGACTTTCGAAGGTGGCATCTCCGGTAATCCCGGGTCGGAGGCGCATGGCGCCTACGCTTTTTGCGCTTTGGCGTGCTTATGCATTCTAGGCAAGCCCGAAGCGACCATTTCCAGGTAAGGAGCTGCATAAGCTTGCTATTCCCCCACTTTTTGCTGAGAATGCTAGATGCGTGGATGTTCCAATGCTCCTATCATGGCTTTCCGCTCGACAGTACGCTCCTGAAGGAGGGTTTGCTGGACGGACCAACAAGTTGGTGGATGGATGTTACAGCTTTTGGGTCGGGGGTTGTTGGCCATTGATTCAATCCGCAATTAACGGCACCCAACCAGCTACAGCTCCTAAGCAGGCCTCAACGGGCAACCTCTATAGCCGCGAAGGCCTGACAAGATACATCCTTGCTTGCTGCCAGGGAAAGCACGGAGGGCTTCGTGACAAGCCCGGGAAGTATGGTCATCCCATATAGATCTCTGTTGCAGCGCAATTTATGGAGCTAACTGTCAAACGTAGACATCCAGATTCGTACCACACATGCTATACTCTCACTGGGTTGAGCACGGCCCAATATCACCACTACCATACCGATGCTAGCGCAAGCTCCAAGGAGGACTTCTCCTCGGCATTTTCCTGGAAATTCCTTCCTGCCACCAGCTCGAACAATGACGGATCAGATTTGAGCGTATTCGATGAGAAGGATCGGCTCACAGCGCTCCACCCTCTCTATGTCATTCCCCATCAGGCTGCCGAGAATATGCGTACATGGTATGAAAATGTACCGCTTGAGGTCTAGTTGATTCTAGGCAAACGAGAAGTGGACAAAACAACGAGCATGGTGTTCACCAAAGATGAGAAATGATCTATAAGGCAGATTGCTATTATTGTACAGTAAAATGCAGGACTATAATTGCTCACAATTCCATGTCAACGCTCACCGGAGAACGCGTCATCCAGTAACCTCGAGGGTTGATGAGCTATGTTTGTAAACGAACAAGACGTAAGGGATGAAATCTATAAGTACCAGGAAGTAGGAAGGAAATCACGGGATGTTGGTGGTACCGGCAGTTGGACACTGCATGAAGTGGAATGATGATTTCCTGCAGAATTAGAATTCCCCGTGTATGACTGAGTCAGCGGTTGCCCTGTAACTAGTTAACTATCGTGATCATTCAGGTGGCGGACTCGATGGTCCGGAAGCATTTGTTGTAAAGAAATTCCCTTTAACTATCTTTTTTCTTTTGTTTGGTATTCCCCTCTTCTCACAGGCTGGTGCAGTCAACCCTGGTGACATTGATCTCCAAAATCCCACTATGTCTTGTATTCCACCTTAACGTTACTTTTAGGGGGGGGGAAAACACCCCACCTGCCAATACAAAAGAGAAAGAGTGAAGGTTAAATTCCAAACTTTGTTCTACCCCCGTTACTTTCTGCGAGGAGAAAAAGAAGGCAGACTCACACAATGCACTGCACAGACTAGAGTCTGTCAGTCGAGGGTAGGGATAGGGATCAACAGTGGTGCAAATGGCAATTGAATTGTGCGGGTCCTCAATTGAAGGATCATTTATTACTTACTTACTTACTACTACTACTACTACTCTGCAGGATGGTGGTTATACTTCTCTCCTCGTCTCGTGTAAAGTGACATGGATTCCCCGCCGCGCCAAACGACCAAACTGCCAACTCATCATTGCGTCCGATGCCTGTCTGCCAACCACGGAATGGCTCGTCCAATGGATATGACCAGAGATCCACCGGCGCAAATCCAGAACCAATTTCGTTTTCCCACACGGCTGATCATCATCCAAACCGGGGATTTTATGACGATGCCCGTCAATTTGTGGGAACCGCCGCTCGCTCTTGATGAAAATAATCGATCTATCTTCATCCTTTCCGTTGCAAAGACCCTCCTGAAGGATCACAGGATAGACGTCGAATATTTCCGAGGAGGCGGTCAATTCACATAGGAGACGTTTTCGGATCACTTACCGAGTCGATGATGATCGTGATCGTCCCTCAGCATTGGGCTGAGCAAAAAGTTGTGGCCGGGTCCATCGTGGCTAATAATATTCTTGACTAAAGTGGCACTCTTTTTTATTTTTTATTTTCTCACTCTCTCCCACGGGCTATGGAGTCGACATTCATTTAATTATTATAATCTTCCATAATCACTGATTATATATATATATATTTTTTTTAAGATTACAACCAGGATTCATCTGCGCGACATGAACCCCTCTCTTGTTGGGATTCATCATTGTATGCATTAGTGGCCTTCCACAACGCCGCCTCTTTTCCAATTAATATATGATTATATCTCATGCTTGCTGATTCTGGAACGACGGGAATCATTTCTAGATTTCGTCTTTCATGCGGGGTTCTAGAAATTCTCAACCGAACTAGTAAAGAGAAGGAGGGAAGGAGGGACACAACAAGAAATGAGAAAAAAGAACTAAAAGATTTACTGGTTATCACCCTTGCCCAGAGCTCCGGCACTCGTTCTGCAGGAAGAATGGTAGACCGAAATGACGATTTGACCGGAATTTCTTATCCTGAGCAACATGTCAATCTTAGCCGCCTGGATCGGCGGCGAATTACACCGTGGCATATGGAGCAAAGTTGTCTTGGGTCTTCTAGTACTGGATCACTGGCCGAAAGCCATGCCAGCACATCAACGTTCCAATCCACGCTTTTCCAGTATTCGATCTCCAGAAAGAAACGACTCGAAATGAACAAAGCTAGGACAATTTAGATCCGCAATGGCTCATGGAATTCACCTGTTACCTGCGCCAGAACTCCAATCTGGTGGAGAATGCCTCAATTGACCCGGTTAGAAGCCCGTTGGCCTTTTTTATTTTTTTTATTTTTTTTAACTTATTATTATTATTATTATTATTATTTTCTTTTCTATTCCTTTCTTAGACCCTTTTTTTTATTTTGCCTCTCTGTTAACCCTAAGTTATGGACTACTGCTTTATGGGCCCCGCCTGTTTATTTGAACTGATTATACCTGGCTAGAATGATAATATTTGCCTGCCTTTCTTTCCCTTCTTTCTTTTTCCCTTCTTGCTTTCTACCATTGCGTGGAATGTTGCTATCTTCCATCATACGTTAGTTCTATTTGTTTGCATTTTGTCGTGCCCTTGTCTAGATTGATCAAATCTATACTAAGCCTCTCCACTGATCCGCTTTTCGTGACAAGATCTTGGCTATTCCGAAACAGCAAATCCCTTGAAGTGTCATATGAGGAACGTGGCCATTGGGCATCAACAAGCGCCGTTTGCATAGGCTTGTTTCCATACTTTGGGTGTGGTTGCCAGGATCTTGTGCAGTGTCAACAGATCCAGGGCAGCAAATACTGATTCGATACGTCTCTGTACCATACGTTCTATTGGACGCCCGCCTGTCTTCACGATGTACTATATTCTATACCTTGCGAGTATGTAGCCTCTCTGTTGCAATGTGCCCAACTCTACGCCATCGATCTCAGACATCTCTTACCCGAATTGGTTTGATCGCGGCAATCGCGGTTTATGAACCTTTCCCCCTAAATCTTTCTTTTTCTTTTCTTTTTTTTTTTTCGTCCCCTTGAGAAATCCTCGGGGGGCAATGACTATCCCATGCATCGATCAGAGATTTACTTGGTTGCACACTACGTGATTTGTTAACACCTCGGCAAATTGCATGGTGGCTTCCGAATGTCGCAGTCCTGACTGAAACTCAAGTTCGAAGTTCAATAACCATGTGTACAGGTCTTTGCCGACGCCGCCGCTGGCCGGAGCCCCAGTTTGAGGTGTATGAAGGCCCTACCGGGTATACCTGCATTGTTCGCGTCAATAATCGGGAATACCAGACGGACACTGTTTGCCAAAACGAAACCCTGGCCCGAGAGAATGCTGCAATGCGAGCGTACCTCATCTGTCGGAATTTCTCCGTCAACGATGGTATGTATCCAGCTGGACATGACCACGGAGGGGTTGTCCAGGGAATGCCTGTGGCGATAGGCACTGGACGGAAGGCCCGCTATGACGATACCGATACCTCGACCAGTGGAGGAAGCAGGAGCGGAGGGAGCAGTCCCGAAAGCTATGAGGGAGGACGATTCGGTCAGGACAGACCCGCCGTGCCATCGCGGGCCCTCGCATTTAGCAGCCGTGGAATGTAGTCGCCCGTGCTGTTTTCACAATGTTGTGGTCAAGCGGAACTCGGCGTACAAAGCCAAAAGAAATTACGTGGAGGACTCTTAACGACTTTATGATTTATGACATGACTTGAATATCCAGATAGATCGAAGTGCTTGTTCTCAATTGAAGCGTGTGTGACCTTAGTCGAAAAATCAGCCCATCGACAGATATACCCTAGTGTGCGCTACCAGGCTTACACAATTCCTGAGTATGGAGATAAGATTGAATGTGCATTACTGCATTGATCTGTCCAGCGTTCTTTGACTTGTGCAAGTGATGGAATAGTCCTTTTCACCAGTTAGTTCTATATGAGAATGAACCCAGTCATCCATCTCCTTTCCCATATGTGTACTACTTGTGCACCCAGTTTCAGGTACAACAACCACAGTGTCTGTACGACAGGGACTGGAATCTAGGCTCCAAGATTTACTCTCCTTTCTCTCAATAACCTACATCATTGTCCGCTTGAAACCATGCTCTACAGCACGCAAAATCAGTAATGCAGAAGCAGAGGTCTATTGTCCTACTGCGTATTCGTTGATTTGCCTTGGTTGTTCTTTAAACGATGTCTCTTTCTAGACCAGGTTTAACACTTGCGACTAACAAGAATAAAAGATAGACATCCTGTTCACTCACTCCCATTGATCATAGTAGGTATGATGTAAGAATATTGAATACTCTCCTAATGTCTAAAAACATTCATGACAGCTCTACCTCACCCACCAAGAGAGACCAAGAATCCGAACTTGACTCAACATCAAACATTTCCTCATCTTATAGCATAGACATATGCTTGGATATACTAGCTTATCCCAGCAGTATAGGACCTTATAGCCATCCAAAAGAATCGCACATCCAACTATAGAACCGATTATGAAAACCAACAACCATTAGAATCCTCACTACAACCACTAACAATAGTAAAAAGCCCCCCCAAACAATTTCTCTAAGAACAGTTACTATCCAGTTGAATCCCCCTAGATGCCCACATCTCACCCATGCAGAAAACAAGTCCCCCCTCACCGCAACCCCAGACACACATACATAAACCCCCTCCCAACAAACGTGGCCTCACCAAACCCCAAGCAAGGCAAACCAAACCCACCATCGTCACCATGCCTACACAGTACCGACCACGCCAATATCCCTGAAATGCATACATCGCATTGCGTCCAAAAAGAGCGGAGTAGAAATCCAAGCTACCTGGGCATAGATCCCACTAGCCCCAAAACGGTCAAGCGCCTCCCCCCCCTGTGATGCTTAATCTGCTGACTCACCATGACGTATACAGTCCCGTTCTCGAAAAGAAGAGCGAAACCCAAACAGGGTCACCTATGATGCCATGATGGCATGGAGCTTTTAAATTAATGGGACATTGTGGGGACACATGAAGGAGGCGGTGCTATGTGATGATATAAACAATCCCTGGTTCTGGGGGCCTTTTTCTCTTATCATTGACATTGCTTTTTGGGTCCGGGTTAGATACTTTACTTATACTATACTACTTTACACTGATTGTTATTGTTTATAAAGTTATTTGTATCTGCATGGTCTTTTTGGGTCTTGATTTTTAGGTTCTTGAGAACACGGCCGTCTGTTGAATATGAGGGCGGCTGTGCGTCGGGTGTCGGCCTTTGGCACGATGGCCAGACGGCCCATTGGCGTGCCAGGGACGAGGTTGTATGCCAATTCGCCGGTGGCGGGTCAGTCGCGCGTTGCTGGTGGTGTTTTGGCTGGGAGACAGGGCCAGGGCGCTTTGATGTGTGGGCTCCCTGTATCTATGCAGGTGCGGCGATTCGCGCATTTTGATGCCATCCAGGAGGACAAACAGGAGACGAGGGACGAGCTGGAGAGGATTGAGATTAGAGAGAAGGACCGGCAACGGAGTACTGAGAGCGGAGATGGGGAGCAGGACTCGCAGTCGAAGCTTGCGAATGCAATGTCGAAGGGTGAATGCGCTTCCTCTATATTCATTTCAGGGCACTGATTAGTCTGGGTTGCAGGGAAATTGTTGACAACGCCGTCGAGACTCTTCAAGGTTCTGATTCCGCTACCTACCGCTAGTCATAATAGTAAACATGATGGTATGTTGTTCTTTTAGGGCTGAGGGAACGGGAAAGTTAACTGTTGAAGACATTGAGCCAATAGCTATCCTGATACATCCCCAGCAGCCATTATCCTACCTCGAACGTCTCATTCAGGATGAGATCCCCCCGATTTCGATCGATGGTGCGAAGCCAAGACCTCCTGCTGTCTCTTTTATTGCACTCCAGATGGACGACAACCCTGTCAAGCCTAAGAAATCGATGTATGAGACGACCGATACTGAAGTACACCGATTGGGGGAAATTGGGGCAGGACATGAAGCTAGGCAACGAAGACGTCGGCCGGACGAGGAGGATGACACATACAGCTATCTTCGACGTGGTGAACCCGGCAAGAGCAACAGGGAGGAACGCTTCGTCCGCTGGTCCCAGTCCACCGAGGTCGGCGACTTTGTCCGCGATGCCTCCCGGGCTCGGGAGTTCATCGTCAGTATCGAGGGGGGTCCGGCGGGTCTGCGCCAGATCCATGTGACTGTCCCTTCGTTCGATGAGCGAACACACTTCCTAAGAATGCGGCTGCGGAGGATCTCCGGCAGGATTCAGAGCATCGCGGAAATCAAGCACGAGTGCGATGCCTTGGCACATCGAGGAGCGCAGCGCGTGGCCGTGGGAGGGTTCGGTATTCTGGCCATGTGGTGGTACCTCGTATACAAACTTACATTCGAGACGGATCTGGGCTGGGATACCATGGAACCGGTCACGTATCTGGCCAGTTTATCAACTCTTATGGGGGGCTACTTATGGTTCCTCTACCATAACCGCGAAATATCCTATAAGTCAGCGCTTGACTTTACGATTAACGCGCGACAGAAGAAGCTGTATGAAAGGAAGGGCGTAGACCTCCATGAGTGGGAGTCACTGATCGATGAAGGGAATTTATTGCGAAAGGAAATCAAAACTATTGCAGCAGAGTACGACGTTGTGTGGGATGAAAAGAAAGACGAGCGAGATGAACGCGTGACGGAAGCTTTGAGAAAGGAGCGAACGCAAAAGAACGGATCGAATCGAACGAAAGAAAGCGAAGACGATGATTAAGGATTGTGTTACGTGCACACCAGGACGGTCATATCCTCCGTACTCCTTGTCTACCCATTTCGCACCGGATCATAGTATTTCTTCGGCGGCGCATCTTCTTCCTGTTTCTTCGTCTTCGAGCCTTGACCTGCCAACCGTTAGCATACCCCAGCACAATATTCAGACACTAATCTCACATACCATGATCGTCCCCCTTTCGCCGATTGCGATTGTTCCGAACATCCCTCGACCGAAACACACTATACAGCAACCACCCAGACACCCAATTCGGACCGTACTCACCGGCCGTGGCGCCGCGAGCGAAGAAAGGACGGGTCAAGGGCCCAGCATTCTGCGCGATCTCAATGATCCCCCACCGTTGGCGCTCGGGACGGATATGATGCCAGAAGAAGGGCGGCCGGGTCGACGGGTCATTCGCTACGCTGTCGAGGAGATGCGAGGTATCTTCGTTGAGGCGATTATAGACGACGATGGCTTCATCCTGTTCCTGTCAATGGACCATTGTACAATACCGCATTCGATAGATGTAGATGTAGATATAAACACAAACATCACCAAACAAGACAAATAGACGAATACATACTCTCATAGCCCTGTAAATCTGCTCATGCTGGGGATCCTGAGAATCCAAGACCAGAGCCTGCATGAACTCCTCCTTCGAGGCACGAGGACCGACAGGCGCCATGGACCATTGACTTTTATCCCAAGCCCAAATCAAATAAAACCCAAACCCCAATCCACAGTTGTAACCAAAACCCAATAACTCAACTCAGTTAAACAAATCAATTGATCAAAATCACAACCCAAAAACCAACGAAGCCAAAAACAAAAGACAAGACAAAGATAGAACCAACATTCACACAAACCACTCCCTCCCTTTTTCAAATCCCAGACCCCACGCCCTTCTTAAACCCTCGGAAGAGCACAAAGTACGTATACGTATGTACCCTCCGTACATACCCTCCCATGCATCCCATACATTTCCACCCTAGTCTGCGACCCTACCTTAGTACCTGCCTACATACATACACTAGCTGAGGTAGGTGCCTTTCCTTTACCCCAAAAAAGCAAAAAAAAAAAGAAAAATCAGCCATGTCGAGATCCTAGTCTGCGTCGCACAACAACCCCTACCCTCGACCTGACTGTCTACATAGCATGCATATGGTATCGTATGGATGTGGTATGATGAGTGTAATTTGTATTTGTATATGTATGTGTGTCTGGTTTGCATCCTGTTACAATTACCCACACTGACTTAGTACTTCAGGGTCGTCGGGACGGATCGGGTGTTGGGACAGGGGTGTTCGGGTGGGTTTGGGTGGATTAGTATGGATGGCCTGTTGGGTGGACTCGATGTAGGGATTTGCGTAAGTTATTTCAAGTGTGGATATTTGTTCTTCTTGTTGTACTTGTTCTGGGGACTGTTGTTGTATATTTGGGAACTTGTATAGGGAATTTGAGAATGATGGATGGTATTGAATTGAATTGAACGTACAGTATATACCCCTGCCAGGCAGGCTAGACTACTTAGATTACGCATGTACGTACCCGGTGATTCTGTACATACATAACCTACCATGCACGAAACGAGTGCAACTCGCTGTTATAGAAGATAGTGGACAGTAAGTAAGTACATCTCATGGCCTGATATGACATGCATGGGGGGAACTGGAGTGGTTAACTACACACATCAGTAACCTCAGGTTGTGTCATGTATATATCAGTCTAGTCAAGTCTAGTCTGGCCCAGTCTAGTATAAAGCCGAATGAAATCGTTCTAGTATAGGATAGTACAAGCAGTAACCGAGCTCGAACAAGTATGTACAAGCCTCGACCTCGAGCGAGGTTCACATGGAGTATACTGACCGGATCAGCAGAGGCTAGGTTGGGTTAGGGTAGGGTAGTGATTGAATTACCCCTGGTGGTGGAAGATCCTTGTCTGTCTGGGGTGAAACGCAAATGACATCAAACAGGGCGTACTTGGCCTCGTCTACGACGTTTGGGGTCAGAGGGGGTAGTGTCAAACGGGGCTGTTTGATGGGATGTAGTGCATATGTATGTGGGGGGATTGAGGTTTGCTTTTTTTTTCTTTTTCATTCCTTGACATGAAGTTGTATGTATATATGTATATATATATGTATATATATATGTATATCTATGTCTCTATCCGATGGATACATGTATATAAATCCCACCACTATATCCACGCCAACACCCCGAAATCAGCAAAAGAAAGAGAATAAGAAACCCAATAACCTCCCGCAGCCGTGTAACCAGCCCAATAAATTGATCCCGCACAGACAACACTCACACCCATGAGACAAATGAGGTACAAAAAGTTACCTTTGTATACCCACCCACCCCAAGACCAAAAAATCCATACCTACCATCCAAGTCACACAGGCAAACAAACAAGACAGCATGAGTCGACACTGTCCTCGTCCGGAGTCTCGGTGTTCCCATCGGAGACCTGGAGTCAAGTTCTTGAAGGCCTTCGCCGTGTTTGATGTGACATTCCGGGGTTCTGTTTATACAAGATATTTGGAATATGGGAGTGTGATACGGTGCTTGGATCATGGGGGTGTTACACTGGTTTGGAGGTACTCGAAGGTGGATTGGTGTAGGGGAAAAGGTACGGGTAATGGACCGGATTGCTGGTTTGGTCTTAGTGTTCGGATTGCTGGAAATAATTAGGTCTTTTTGAGAGGCTGTGGAGGGGTCTCGAAGGTGAATGTCTCGGGTTACAAACAGAATGACATAAAAAGAGAAAGGAAGAAAAAATGAGTCATCCAATTCACTCATAATGTGTCCGGCGTGAACCTCGGTCCCGCGAGACAGTTACTTCGCAGCTCTGTGTTGACTATCATTCTTCGCTTCCCATGTTGCACATATCGTGTGGTGGCTATAATGGGGTAGACAGGCTGTGTGATCTTACGCGATTCTATAAGTATGGAGAAAGAAGACAGCTGGGGTTGGAGGATGAATCCGACACCTTATATAGAATACATTCAGTCCACGACGATTACTTCAGAAACTGTATGCGACTACAGGAAGACACTCCGCGATAGTTTCCCCGGATATTGCAACGGACCGAAATGTCTCGCAGGACATTAATACCTGTTTTGTCGATGGAAGTACAAGACAAACGGAGTAGATTAAGACACGAAAATCTATCGACTCCTGCTCATTAGGGTAAATGCGTTGTCCTGGCTAGACAATTGCGTTTGCGCGGCTGATTCGATGGCACCCGACATGGGTTAGATGATGCTGCCAGAGGAGTTAGACTTCATTCAGGATGGAAAGACTGTCGGATCATAAATCACAGGGAGGTATGGTATCACTGGTGATGGCCTTCAAAAAGACAAAAATTTGCCGACTCATCGTACCTCTTCCCATCCAAGGGGGATGGATGTCTAAACCCGCCATAAGCATGTCGGGCATGACATCTGCAGCCGGCCTTGTCCTGGGTATCGGTCACACACCTGATACATGCCCTCTTACACAGAAGAAAGGAAAAAAAAAAGGGAATCTACCATCCACATGCGGTGTCGGGAGGTTGTCTCCGTGGGACTCGAAGCTCTGGCCCTGTCCCTGTGTGCTCGATAAAAAATGACTGGACAAAAGGGCAACAGAAATCTCGCCTATTTTATGAACAAACCTCTAGCCTAGATAGAGCTGGAAAAAAAAAAGAGAAAAAAGAGAAAAAAGAAAGAAAGAAAGAAAAGAAAAAGATGTAACAGAAACTCGAAGGCCGGGCAAAGAAAATAAGAAAACATGTCATCTACCTCATGTATCGTCATAGTATCCTTGGTTCATACGGGATTAAGGAGAGCAAGCATTGGACGAAAACAACCCGAGGGTATTATCAGACGCGCTTCTGGAAATTAAAAAAATTGCGTTGTTTTCTCTTTCGGTTATGGTGTCGAATGCAGTTTTGATGTGAAAAGGTGTGTCACCTCACGTGGTATATTCCAGTCAACCATCATCCTCACGCTTTCAACTTCTTTCCACCTTTGCTTTGGAGGACTACTTGTCGTCATTCTTGTTGTCGCTGTTGATGTGGCTGGTGTCGCCGTAAAATCTGCGAAGGAAGCTCTCTACTTCTTTGTAGTCCACCTTGCAGTCCGACAGGGTCTTCTTAATCTTCTCCAGACACTCCTTTTCCGATTCGTTGTTGGTACCCGTCTCATCCTTCCCGGCACCGTAGTTCTGAATCTTCTCACATGCATCCTTAACCTTAGTCAATCCCAGAGTAGCTGACGAGCCTTTCAAGAAATGTCCCAATGAAGATAGCTCGCTGAGTTGACGCTCCTCTCTGCAAGTGCAGGCTGAGTCAGTCCTGGAGTCACTCTGCTATTTCGGGATACTTACAGAGCCTTTTCCATCTTTTTAAAGGTAGTTTCAGCTTGGTCAAAGAAGCCGAAAACAATTCCCTTGCTGAAGTCCATATCGTCATCTTCATCGTCCATCTCCAGGATCTGTTCAAATGTGGTCTGATCGATGCTGTCTTTCATGTCGGAAAGCTTAGGCGGACCCTCAGTCTTGGGCTACTCGAGGTCAGCACTATGATCCAACAGTCCCAAAACGGATGGTACGGCACGTACAGGTGTCTGCACAGTAGTCTTGGTGGTGGTGGTGGGCGCCATGTTGAATATAATAAGGTTAAGTTCTGTTGTTCCACACGCTTCGTCTGATCTTGCAACCCGAACAGCTAGTTTCTGGCGGATCTGTCTAACGCCGGCGCTGATGGCGTTCAAGTTACCCGGTTAATAAGTCCGGATCCAGAATTTAACAAGCACACGAGTACTGAAATTACACAGAGCAATCTGTTTGTCCAAGTCGGTGTCAGTTGACAGTCCACGAAACCAATGGTAGTGTTATGGCAACTGGACTCCATGACTGATAGTGCCCTACGCAATAGGGACATTACGTGGGAGGGAAGCAAAGGGGGCAGGAACGTCACAGGGACACTGGTTTACAGAGGCAACAGGGGAGATGAGGGGTTGAACAACACTTGAGATGATTCACCTCTGGGTAGGAACTGGCTGCGTGATTCAGAAAAGGGAGGATCTCCAGAGGGCGGGGGAGGATAGGGGAGTTGATTGGGAGGGAGGTGGGATGGAAGTACTAAGACGAAAAGGATAGACTGAAGGTTCTAGGTCTGTGCCAACGTACTTTGGAAGTCAGGGAAAGCAGGTTGGGGGTCAGACAAAAGGGGATAGAGAGAGATTCAAAGGAAGGGAAAAGAGAACAACAATGTGGGAGAAAGCCGAGTCAATATCAATCAGCCACAACGCGGAAGTGGATGAAGGAAGGGTCCACATGGAACATGTGTAGAGGAACAGTTGTCTGGATCAGGAGGGACAAGGAGGGGTAGTCATCAGCAGAACTAAAAAAAAAAAAGAAAAGGGATCTTCCTACCTGGAACACTGTAATAGAATTGGCGTTGGGTATAATGCAAGTAAGAATGAATTAGAGAAAATCAAGAAAATCAGAGGAATCCAGGCTGACGCCGAAAAAAATATACGGGTATTAATTATCAAACTGTGTTGCGAAACGTTGTGGCTGAAATTAGCCCAGCAGCAATATGGTCGACAAGAACGATGGTAGATGAGTGGAAGAAAGAAGAGGGTTGAAAAATTATAACAAAGACGACGATGAGAATATGACGGAAGCTGTGTGTGTGTGTTTGTGTGAAGGAGCCTCCCTGCTGTTCCTCCTAAGGAATTTTATTAATTTTAATTTTTTTTTTCCCTCTTTTCCTTTTTCTCGTTTTGGTTGCGTTGTTGGTAAAATGAAAAAAAAAAAAATAAAACTAAAAAAAGGAACCAAGAAAAAAAAAAGTGGAGGGGAAGAAAAAGGTAAGGAGGGGAACCAAAAGTGGGTGTGGGTTTGAAAGAGGTCACGGTTCGTAAGACCGATAGAGATCAATAATTGACCTCTGTCATTGAAAAAGAAACCAGAAAGAAGTGGTTCCCTCCAATGGCGACACTTTCAAGGTGGATTGGGAAGAAAATATTTAGGAAATTACCCGACAAAGCAAAGCAACACCTCAAGGTTCAGGATTAGACAGACGTAGGGAATCAATAGATCGGCTAACCTTATGGGACGAACCGAGAGGGTGAGGGGTGAAGGAAAAGGATTCATAGAAACCCTCAAAATGATATGATCACAATGACAGATACCAGTCTGAACAAGAGGCGGTCAACTTCATTGGACACCAGTCAAGTGGATTGCAGTAGTCGGGATGTCGAGCAATTATAGCAGCGACGGGGGGCCTGTTGGATTGGGAAGCGCGCAGAGCGGCGGTTGGTGGGGAAAGGGCATCGATAGAAATTAATGGTGATCAATCACAGAGGGGGGAATGAAGTGCGGGACTCCAGAACGAGAAATGAGAGAGAGAGAGAGAGAGAGAGAGCATGAGAATGAGAATGAGAGTGAAGGGTGAAAATCATCTTCCCCGATGGTTTAACTATTAGTTAAACTGGCTGGCACTGACTAAACGGCAGATTTGATGGTGGGATATAAATTCGTTTGGCACTGGCGTCATTCTTTCTTTTTTGGTCGACTTTAGTATTTGGGAATTCGCCATCACTGCCATTCTTCTACAGCCCCAAAGAAATGAGGAATGTTCGTCGGTGGCAGACGTTATCTATTCACCAGTCCCATTTTCTTCTCCCTCCTTCCCTGTCTTTTTCTCTTCTACTAAATTAATATCAGGTCAAACATCCCACTCGGTCCAAATGGACTGATTGGTTTTAGTGTGTGGGGAATCTCAGAAAAGTCAGACAGGCAAGTTCACCTTTTGTTCCAGCCTCAATTTACCCAATCTTTTTTCCCCTCGGCAATGTTTGTGATCTGTATAACCCTATCAGACAGATCACGGTCATGCCCAATTCCACATGAGTGATCAGATCACCGAGTTGTGGGAGGAGGTTATTTGGGCGCGAGAGAGAGAGTCTTCGGGGAATGCGGTTGAATCTATGGTCCCTATTGGGAAGGACACCAGCATCTCCACTCTTTCACTCAATGCACGCTGAAATCATAGGACCACAACTGACGTAGTGGTGGGCAATCCCATCAACTAAGCGTAACGTGTCGATCCCATGGTCAACTCCTCCCCGTCTGACTAATAAACCCCTTTTACATCATTTCCAACCCCGAGGAACCAAAGATGCTACAAGATTGGCGGTGCACGTGGGAAGTTACTTCTTTCTGGATGATGTCTATCGTTGGGCTCCCTCTCCGAATGAGCGTGACGGAAGCGTGTATGCAGACGGCGAAGGAATAAAGGAAAGGGGAAAAAAAAAGAGAGACATATGTCATTCCGTCATCGCACAATACTGCCAATTCTCGGAATCTTATTCAGATCACGATCATCACTTAAACAAAATAGCGCAGACCAGCCACCAGGAAAGTCGCGTCAACTCCTTCTGCATGAGAAGTTCTGGGCCCTCAGGGACCATCCAAAATTAGATTGGACAGGAAGGAATGTACCGTGCTCCTGGTAGGCTTGATTCGGGGAGGTAAAAAAAAAGGATGAGGTAACCCTTCAGTCGCAATGTGTCATACTGCGGGGTGTCATGAGCTAAGACGATAAAGGAGAATCCGATAAGAATCATTGGATTATGACATGATGCAGAAGGGTGATGATCCTGTCGTTGTGACCAGAATATCAGTCACAACCCCCAGCCTCTTCGCTCCGTGAATTCTGGTTTGGTGGAAGGAATATTGTTTTTAACCACTTGGGTTTCCGCTCGAGCCTTTATACAAAATCCCAAGTCCGTGGGGACGATGAACGCATATCCATGAACCCGAGGAGGTCTATTGGGTCTAGTTCCCCAGCCTGCCTATCAGAGAAATGCACTTGAAAAATGACATCAGTGTGGGGCCACAATACCGCCAATCCGTGACCACCGCTGACGTTGGCGGGGCTCTGCCAAGATGTCTAAAGCTTGGGCCGCCTTCCAGACACTTCGGTGCCGTACAGGGGGTTACCGAGTCCTGTATCCTTTTTATTGTCTACTAAGTCATCCTCTACCTAACGCAAATACAGGCTGGTTGTTTGTCAATCGCCGGAGCTTTTCGGCCTCCTACTCCCCTCTCATAGGTGAAGATATGAAGAAGTGCAGCAGTTTTGGACACAAAGGAAAAGACGACGAGGACGGAACAATCCGATGGTTTTTTCGCTCGGCCGATTCTCGCTGAACGTTCCCGACAATCCCCACCCGATCAGGAAATCTGTCTGGTCCTGGTAGGCTGGTAACAGTACACTTCTCGAACGAAAGGGTGGGTCATCAATGGCCAGGGGTAAAGGCATTCAACCGTATGTATCGCTGGCCTGAAATTTAGGCCTTCACGAGTTCCCAAGGGTTGAAACGGGACTAATCGTACCTACAATGACATTTCCGCTGGTATCGGATAGGCTTGTTTTCTGTTCCACTCACGGTACCAGCGCCAGTGCACCGTCTTGCGTGTGATCAATATGCAGCAGCACATCCTATGACATCAGCTTGCATGCTTCTCACCCTTTGAAATGATACCCACACCTCTTCGCAGTGAACATCGCCAAGTCCGATGCTTCGGTGCCGCGTTGTACTGTATTCTCGACGCAAAATCTTGGAGACAGGGCCGTCATGTGTTCTGAATAGTAGTGCTTCATACATTGTTATTGTTCCTCCTTTTCTCCCCCTTGTCCTCTTCCTTGCACTTCGTTGTTTCTTCTCGAACAGCAGAGATATGGGAGTAAGTTGATTTCAGCGAACGTGATCAACGCACGTGACGCGAGAGCATCTGATTTGGCAGCCTTACCAGATAAGAGATACGATACCCACTACTGTACAGAACTGTTTCCCTCTCACTATCCTGCTATTAGTCCAGTGTCAAGGGGAGATAAACATCCGCCATCCGCAAGCTTAGACGGCTAAGCAGCCACATGCGCTATCGGATACGGAGAGGAAACTTCTAGGTTTCTCGATAAGATAAGTGATGCATATGTTGCTATGGATGGCTTGACACCCGAAATGTACACTATCTTGAGAACATGCGACATAATTATACACCAATTTTGGGATACCTCTCCAACCCTTGCTGATTCACCGGAATTGAATTCCAGCTATTGTCATTCCATCTAAGCATTGACCTGAGCAAAATCCCAACAGATCTCAATATGTTGATAACTGTTTGGAGCCTCGGCATCTCAACGTGTATTACATAAGCCATATCCCCATCTCATTTTCTTCCTTCTCCAGCTGTCGACTAGTTCGGTATCAATTACTTCACCGTATCGCTTTGGGGCAATTCAGCTGTTACTGCTGCTAACTCAACCCCTATAATTCGATCGTGTCATATAGTACGCGGGACAATCGACCGTCAACAGCAGCAGCAGCAAATCCAGACCAAGCACTCAACAGCTTCCATCCAAACACAACTCGAAAAACAACAGCAATAGCAGCACAACAAAGACCCAAAATGTCTTCCAAATCCGCTGCCCCCCGGGGCCCCAAGGGCCTCACAAAATTGTACCTCCTAGGCTACAACGCTGCCAGCTTAACCCTCTGGGCAACCTGCACCCTCCGCGGCTTCTACCTCCTCGCAACCAACTCCCCAGAGGACATTCCCGCCATCTTCAACGACATCTTCTGGCCTCTCCTGACAACGACCCAAACTCTGGCCGTCCTGGAGATCTTCCATAGCTTGCTCGGCATCGTGCGCGCCCCGGTCGTCACCACCGTGATGCAGGTCGCGAGCCGACTGCTTCTCATCTGGGGTGTGATGTTCCTGTTCCACGAAAAAGGTGACGGCGCAGGCATCGTGGGAGCTCCCACGGAGGCGGTTAAGGTGGGTGACTATGCCTTCCTGGGCTGTTTGAGCGCCTGGGGCGTGACCGAGTGTATTCGGTATGGGTTCTTTGCCTTGCAGGTTTTGGGCGCAGGTGTGCCCGGGTGGTTGACTTGGCTGAGGTATGTATTGCCCTTTACACTTTTATGTGTCTCTTTTTGGGGGAATCTTTGCTGACGCGTGGAATTTAGATACAACACCTTCTATGTGCTCTATCCTCTTGGCATCACCAGTGAGTGCGTCATGGTTGTTAAGGCGCTGGAGCCGGCGGCCGAATTTAACCCCCTGTACCGGTGGTTCTTGATTGTCGTTCTTGGTATCTATGTTCCCGGTAGGTTTATGCTTTGCGTCCCAGATATGTGTACTGTGCTGATTACCCGTTAGGTTCTTACATCTTGTACACGCATATGATTTCCCAGAGAAAGAAGGTGCTTAAGAAGAGGGCGGAGTAGAGCCATCCATGGATGACTGCAGCTGTGAGATGTCGGGTTGATATGGTGAAAGGGATGGGTTGGTTTAGATAAGCCTAATTCTGCTACAAGAGACGCATTGGTAATGATATACTGCTGGCTACATACTCGTCATTTCATCATGCGTAAAAAGTAGGGCCTGAAGTAGGTGCATTACAACTCCTTCATGATATCTCGCACAGCTTTCGCCGCAAATCGTTTCCGTTCGCTCTCCGGTAACTCATCACTCATGTCTATACGACCTGCATAAGTACCCAGCAGAACTAGGGAGAAAGAGGGGACATACCTTTAATAGCTTTCATCCGCAACATCAACGCCTCCATCGACTCAACCTTCATCTCATCGTCTCCATCAATCCCGCCTAAATCGTCATCTCCATTCTCCATCGCAAACCGCAGCCCAACCATCTCCCGCTCCAGCTCATTCACCTCCAAATCGAACCCATCCTCAAGCAAATGCCTCTCAAGCTCATCCTCAACATCGCCCACACCATCGGACTCCCCAGCAGGCGTCGAAGCCCAATCATGCGTCTCTAGAATCTCCCTCACCCTTCGCATACCCTGATACTCTGTTCCACGTCAGCATACATCCATATACACCTGATCAGCCAACCCCAACCCCAAACCATTCAAACAACCAGCCATCCATCCAAACAAAGAGAAGAAAAAGGAAAATAAACATACCCCCAAACCGATCCCTCTCCTCCACACCCCCAGCAACCTCCCTAGGATCCCAATTAACAACCTCAAAGCCCACCAACCCAAGATCAAACAATTTATCCTCCCACCAGGGAACCGAAAACACCTCTTCCTCCGCCAAGCCATCGACCTCATCCGCGTCCCCAGCAGCAGCACCAGCAGCAGCACCGGACTCCCTCCCCCTACCAACCAAAACAACCAACCCTAGAACATCACCCAGCCCCCCCTCTCCTCATCCATCACGCCCTTGACGGAACCAATGGCTTCCAGGAACGTCTGCAGACCCTTCCACTCCGGTCCTTCTTCCACATCTGCTTCTGTAGGAGTAGACGGAGATACGAGATCCAAATTACGCAAGCAGATAACCACGCCCCCGATAGCATCCCTCACGACCTTCGCTTCTGGGCCGGAGAATTCCTTCCGCCATGTCCTTGGTGTGAGGGGTTCTTGTTCTTGTTCTTGGTCTTGGTCTTGGTCTTGGGTTTGTCCTTGGGGGTTTATTAGCTCCGGTTGGTCATTTTGTGTATCTGTAGTTGTATCTGTATTCGCATTCGCATTCACATTCTCAGAAGAAGAAAGTGGGATCTCATCAACCCAAATCGGCACCTCGGCTTTATAATACCTATTCTCGAGTCGGAGTGGGGGGTGCGTTGTGTAGCCTGCGAATGTAGTCGTCGTCGGCGGCGGCGGCGGCGGCGGCGTATTGGGGTCAGTGTCTGGGTGGTTTTGGTCGAGGGTCGAGGTCGAGGTCGAGGTCGGGGGATCGATAACGGGGGACCCGGTTAGGGAGTGCAGGAATGGGGGGATTGTGGTGTGGGAGTGTTGCGAGGGGGCGAGGATGAGGAGGCGGCGGGGGTTGGCGATGACGGTTGCTGGGTTTTGGTCTTGTTTTGGTGGGTTTGGTTGGGGCATTGTTGTTCTTTCTTTGGGGGGGTTGCTTTGGGTTGGTGTGTATGTGTGAGTGTGGGCGTGATTGGTAAAGTAGTGAGGAGGAGGAGGAGGTGTTGGTGGTGGTGGTTGAGTTGGAGATGAGCGGGGGGGGATTTTGCGGTGCTTGAAGTTTGGTTTGGGTTCGATTTGGAGAGGAATGGGGGGTGCATATTTCTTTCTTCATTCCTCTTGGATTTTGCTTATGGGGCTTACTGGGCAGATACTGGTCAATTGATTACTCTATGTCTTTTTTTTTTTTTACCAGGCATCGATTTTAGATCAGCTCGATATCAAGCTCGAGAGTCTGTGATCCACTGCAACTCGCATCCCATATCGATAAATTTATCTTATCACACTTCCTCAAATCTACAAAACCCACCAGCAGCAACCCACGGAAAAGCAGCGTCAAAAAACGAGAAATGTCCCACAACACGCGCGGGTATAAGAATCCCATGTAGAACCAGGAATCGATTTTTCAGGAACGGCCCAATGTAAAAGGTTAGAACGGCAACAGGACAAAAAAAAGGAGCAAAAATCAAACGCCATTAATATGAGATATGAAGATTTCCCGTTTTTTTTTTTTTACTTAACCCCTCCGTTGGCCCCGGGCACGCTGCACGGTGGCCTTACCACGAGCAAGACCGACACCGCGGCCGCGCTGGCCTCTTGAGCGGAACATGGGGGCGTTCCTGTTTGATGAGTTGTTAGAATTTGTATTTTGCAGGAGGGAAATGAACGGTAGATAAAAGAAAAAGAGTAAAAACATGGAACAGCGAGAAATGGGTGTAGGAGAGCTTACCGCAACATATCCGGAACAATGAAGAACCTCACGTGGCTTCCGCGAATATAAACCTGATCCAAATGCGACACGCGACCATCCCGAGCAGTGACCGTGATATCCTTCAGCTGAACGTTCATGTTATCCTCGGCTATTCCTAGTCAGTCTATCATTCCCTGGTACGATAGTTGAGCGACGAACCCTCGAGAAGTTTTCCTCGATACACGACTCCGGAGGTGATTTCCAGGGTGACGACGTGGCCCTGTACCCAGCGCGTTAGCTCCAGTTTCCAAGACGAGATGCAAGCAAGATGATGGTGCGTAGATGAAGCTCAGAAGACATACCTGGGCTTCGTTAAGAAGCTTGATCGGGATACCGATCGTGGAGGTCAATTTGCCCATTGTGAGTAGGAACGGAGGGGTTGTCGCAAGAGAGACGATAAAAAGAGGTGCAGAGAAGTTCGAATGCTTCAATCTTGGACAGAAATCCCGTGAGATCAATAATCCTCCGTCTGGCGCACAGGGTGAAAGAAACAGAGTCGGTAGGATAGAATTGGACGTTCCGTCGGCGGAGAGTTTTGCGGCTCTGCTCCGCCCAGCCAATAAATAAGCTACGGAGCTTTGCTTTTAGTTCTTCCTATATTTAATTTGATACCACCAATTACTCCCATTTAACAAAAACAAGAAAAAGAAAGAAGAAAAAAAAAGAGACAATCCCAAGTAAATAAAGAAGAAAAGAAAAGAAAATTAAACAAAAATGCCAAACCCACCAAACACCAATCTCCGCGCTTTCAATCTAGCCGTACAAACGCTCCTCAAAAACCCCTCTCAGTTCCTCCCCCATCTCACAATCCCAACGATAACGCATCTCCCCGAACAAGTCGGTCCCTCGATCGCTGCCAACCTCAAACTCCAACCGACAGAGGTATCCAAAACCAAGGTACCCACTATCCGTGCCCTCGTCCTCGACAAAGACAACACCCTCTGCCACCCCAAAACCACGACATTCCCTCCGCAGATCCTCGACAAGCTGCATGCCCTGCGCACGTCACACACCTCCCCCTTCAACCGCGAGCAACATCCGGACTCGATCCTGATCGTGTCTAATCGTGCGGGTTCGCATCCGCGCTATGATGCGGAGGTGCGGGAGCTGGAAGAGCGCCTGTCGGGACTACGGATTCCTGTGTTTCGGTTGCCGGAGGGCAGTGAAAAGAAGCCGTTTTGTGGAGACGAGGTGCTGGAGTGGTTTCGGGAGAGGGGGGTGGTGAAGGGCGCGGATGAGATTGCCGTCGTAGGGGACCGGCTGGGCACGGATGTCTTGATGGCGGCGCGCATGGGGTCGTGGAGTGTTTGGTGTCGCGATGGCGTTACCGAGGGCGTCGATCCAAAGGACGTCAGGCCTGGGATGAACCTTCTGGAGAAAATGGAGGTTTGGGTGGAGAGGTATTTGAGGGAGTCGAAAGGATTGAAGGCTCCTCCACCGAGTGGTTGGGACCGTCAATAGCTTTTCTGCGCATTCGTTCGCCTTGTTTTGTGACACTTGTAAATACCCATGTATGATAGATAGAGGTTGTCTTCTACGCCAATGACTACGACCGATAGCAAAAAGCCTGTCTTAAGATGTTGGTTCACATTGGTAGAGATCTCGAAAGTATGCATGCGAAGAATTTCACAGCTTCGCAGAAACAGAATACCACTTAGACAACCCACATGGCTGTCGGTAGATGTCAACAGCCTGACAAGACCGAACCAAAGACGCAAGCATGCGACAGGCAAATGACCATAACAAAGGGAATATGCAAACAACCCTAATCCCACCAACCCAAAAGCACCAATCAAATGAGAATTCAAACAATCTCGCCAATTGTGCGACTTTCTGGCATAACCACGTTAAAAGGCCCCGACCAGGTATATAAAGTCAAAAGGAAAAAAAAAGGTCCAGGGTAAATTGAAGAAGTCCAAAAAGAAGTTGCAAGAAAAAAATTTTTGCCCAGTATTCGCTGCAGCAAAAATGTCTGATAAAGTGGTAAGGACCAGCCCCTAGAGAAGGGTATTAATACAAGAAAAAGATGTGAAGAAGAAAAAATGCGCAGAAAAGAGCATAACGCTGAGAGCATAGCAGAAGAAATGAAAAAAAAAAAAAAAAAGAAAAGAAAAGAAAAATGGATATATCCTCGTCAATCTAAGTTGGCGGGACTGAAAAAAAAAAAGCATCAGTCTCACCAAGCCCTCCAAAGAGGGACGTGAAAATAACTGGTCAAGGTTGGGTATCTCCAGTGGATACAATATCATCCAATCATTTGGAAAGTGATTTGAAGAGCTTGTGAAAGAAAATCAAGCCTATCAAAGAAAAGAATTGCCATCCTGCCAAGTGCTACTTGGACACGGCATAGAAAAGAAGCGAAGACCAGGAGCCGTTCGCATTGAACAGCAAGGTACATGTGCAAGGTTCAAGATCCAGTGGCGAATGCATTCGGATCGGCGTTTTCCATAGACGTCATTTGGTAGTCGCCCTGAACACCTGGAGAGGTGTGACCGGACAAGGTCTGCATGGGGAGATCAAAAGTGTTTCCTTCGAAGCCCATAGTAGTTGGAACAGTGAAGTTCACGTTCTGCTTGGGAAACATCCCATTCATCTGCATTCCCTCTTCCGCAAAGCTCGGCTGATGCTCATTGCTCATGCCATACATCTCCTGGGATGCGTGCATGTTCGACAGCGGAGGCGAATGATCCGCAATCATAGGATCGGCGTGGCTGACAGTCGAATATGGGGATGCAGAATGCGCTCCCATGTTGGAAGAGTCAACTTGAGGGGAGACGAAAGGCAGGTTAAAGGGGGTTCCCATGGTGGTCGCGACAGGAGTCGAATCACCAGGGCCTCCAGTGGAGAAAAGCCCAGGGCTAGCGAAGTCGGACGGCGAGGCTGTCGCCGTCGTCGCAGACATGGGGTGAGTGCGGGGATCAAAGCCGTAAGCGGCCGAAGTATCAATTCGCAGGTTCGCTGCTAATGGATGCGCTGACTGGGGAACTGGCGCAAAAATGTTTGAGTCCGCATGGTTGAAATGCACTGGAGTCTGTGGCATGTTATAGGTGGCGAGCGGCGTTTGCAAGGCAGAAAAGTCGACGGCCACTGGAACAGAGCGACTCCGTTGACGTCTGTGTCCGCGAGGAACCTGAAGGTTCAAGTGAGTCTGAGTTTCTGGGATCATGTTCATGAATGCGGGTGCGAATTGGTTTGGCTGCGAAGCAGGGCGTTGGATGAAAGGTGGAGACATCGGCGCGTTTACGGCGAAGTTATTGTATGCCAAGCGGCTTTGGAACGACTCCAACGACACCAACTTGGCGAGCTGCACACTCAGAACCTTCGGATGACCTCCAAGGTGGTGCACCAAGATCTGACTAGCCTGCTGGTCTTCTGTAAAGTCGCCGCACTGGTAGAATCCACCGGAGTTGGAGGAATCCATGTAAAACAGCGGCGGCCGGTTCAATTCCACCACTAGACCACCGGGCCTCGGGGGAGCGCCGTTCGGCTGTTGTCCTTGGTCGCCCGACTCCAAGGTGATATTCTTGATGTAAGAGAAAGGGTATTCAATCTTGTATCCTGCAGAATCATTGTTGATGTAATAAGTCATGCAGGCTTTTTCGGGGGAGTAGAAGACGACCAAATCCATCGCGTTCTGCCCAATGCGCCGCCAGCTACCGATGGTCAATGACCGACACGTGAAGTGATGGATCACAACTTTTCCAGAGGGGGTGGACTCGCTCGGGTAAGCGCCACCGGCTCCATAGCCTCCTGTGCGGCCAAACGGATCTCTTGCGCCGGGCTTGCTGGGGTCGAATTGCATCGCCAGATACTGGCGCATAGACTCTGGGATTGAATCGCAGCCCTCACCGGTTTCAATGCTCTTCTTCGCGAGCATCTTGATCTTTGCACGCCTAAATTGCTCGTTAGCAAAATGACCGTCTGTAGCAAACCAGGGCCGCGCGACATACCTGTTCTGGAACCAAATCTGAACAGACCGTTCAGTCATGTTAATCTCCTGGGCGATCCTTTCGCGTGTGGCAGCTGTAGGGGTGGGGTTCTTGTTGAATTCCAACTCCAGGGTAACCAGCTGATCTTGAGTCGCCCGTTGACGTTTGTTGTTCTTCTGTTGTTGGGTCAGGGTACTCTTGCGCTGAGGCCGACGGGCCGCGGAAGAAGGCGCCGTGGCACTGGATGCAGATGGAGATGGCGTGGACGCGGCAGAAGACGAGGTGGTTGGTGCTGTGGTGGTAGGGGTAGTCGACATAGTCGACGGGTCAGGGGAGTCTGTCGAAGACATTGTTTGCAGGGATTGACCGAAGATAAGGTAGAACTGGGTTCAGAAAAGAGAATCGACCAATTGAGAGATGGGAATGTGAATGAAAGAAAGGAGAGGACGATGTGACGATCCGGCCGACAGTCGAAGGGGATGTCCCAAGTCTCTCAAGCTGCGTCAAGCGCGAGAGAGATAGATGTATCAAACGAATGGATGTGCCAGGGCTGGAAACGGTTACGATTCCAGGCCTCGAGCACGGGTGAATATGAGCGCGTCGCAGAAGCGTCAACGTAATCGAATCGGGGAAAAGATAAACAGCTGACCTAGGCAGCTTATACGGTAGAATGTATATAAGGTCTTCGCAAGCGTGGCGGTTAATCGAATCGCATGAATCGAGGATCGATATCGCGATGACAAATCGAGGGCTATTTCACCGTCCAGAGGGAAGCAAACGAAGGGCTCGTGAGAGTGAAGTCGAACGTTAAATGAGTGGAACGATCGACTGTAGCGAGCAAATGGGGTCGAAAGTAAAGAATGTAAGAAGTGAAGAAACAAAAGAGTGAAAAGGAAAGGAAAATGAACGATAGAAAGATGGTCGATGGGAAGGGAAAGAGAAAAGAGAAGGGAAGGGAAGAAGAGAAGGAGAGAGAGAGAGTGAGAGAGAGAGAGAGAGAAAGAGAGACAAACGGGTGGAGGACGGCTGTTGGTTGGTTCGAAGAGAGTCAGGAGATGGGGGATGCTCAAACTAGCCTAGTGTGGACGAGTGAGCGCTAGCTGTTTTGGCATCGGCGGTTCCTGGGAGTCGCTGTGACTGACTAGTCGACCGTGGGGCCTCGTTTCCTTTTCTTTTCTTTTCTTTTTCTTTTTCTTTTTTTTTTTCGTTGGATCGTCTGCGTTGGTCGTAGTCCTGGTTAGATGGGTTCAAAATTTCAAGATCACTCCGTATAACATGATTGATTTTAAATTACTTCAACAATGTAGACATCTATATATCAGGCAAAACAAACACCGTTGCAGAAGGGGAGGGGGCAAAAAAAAAAAAAAAAAAGGAAAAAAGGAAAAGGAAAAGGAAAACAACAAACCCAGCAACAGCACCACCACCAC